TGTTATCTAGCTTCCCTATTTATCAGTATCGTTCAGAACCGGTGCGAAAAGCAGGGCATTCCCCCCTCCCCAACCACGCAACCCCTTTCAGAACACATTTCTCTGCAACCACGTGTTCACCATAAAGGTTTCTTCATGTAAGACGTTTAAATTTTTTGTGCATGAATGCAAGATGGACAAATACCTTGTTAAGGCGACATCTTCTCCGTAACGGACAAATGAAAACGAAACAAATGTCGGTAGAAACGGTCAAAACGAAACAAATATGGATATTTTTCAGCCAAATAAATATAATAGCCGATGAAAAGGTAGATATAGAACATTTTCCATATGATGATGCAGCAAAAATATTCAATTAGAAAATGTGAAAAATGTATTATAATTAAAGAAATAATTTTTTTTCAAGTGTATTCGTGTTTTTTTAATTTTTAGAAATCTCACTTAACTTTTTGAAATCTCACCCTGTTTTTGAGAAGGGTGAGAAATTCTCTCCCATTTTTTTTCTGTAATGAATACACTTTAATCCTGTACATATAAATTAAATATGTACAAAATTTTATGATAATTGGTAAACAAATATGGCTTAATCTGTAAAACAGAAAACAATCAATTCAAAACTCAATGTGTAAGCAGGTTTAGAAATCAAGATAAAGTAGCTTACATACTATTTGAATAGTTTCTAAATGATTAATTTTATTGAAAAATAACAAGAAGGTTGGAATTTGAACCAAAAAAACATTCGCACTACTTTAATGAGCAACAAAATACAAATATTTTTAAGAAATGCTAAAAAGTTAAAATTTTCTAGTTGTCTTGAACTTAAAAAGTAATTTTTCATTAACTTCTTGAAAATCTTACTTAAAGTATCCAACTGTTCTCTAAAATTTTATTTCTGTCTTTAGTTAAGTATGTTTAAAATTTGTATGCAGATAAAATAAACATTATTTTTAAATATTTTCAATTAATTTTTCTATGTTAGTAATTTTGGTCAACACAACAACAACCTAGTTTCTAAAGCACACTGATTTGATGAGCAACAAAATACAGACATTCCTTATTACAGAGATTCCTTACATACTCGTTAGGAATCTGTTGAATTGTGGTGGCTCAGGGGATAGAGCGCTCGCCGCCCAAGGAGATAACCAGGGTTCGATCAGTTAGAATCCCCTTGCTGTCAGACTAACCGTGGGTGGCTTTCCTCTCGTTGTTACACAAATGCAGCTTAGTTCCATCAAAAAAAGTCCTCCATGAAGACAAATTTCTCCCAATACTTGATCCAGGACTTCCCTTGTCTTCTGGATTGGGTTCAAAATTACAAGGCTACGGAGTTGAACATTAGTAGCCGTAAACCCTAAGTTGTGCCAGCTGTTCAACGATGGTTATAAAATTAAAATAAAATTGTATCCACAAAACTGAAGTTAGAAAATTGCTATAAAAAAGGACGAAGCAAAATTTATAGGAAAGAAGTTTAAACATAGTAAAGAGAAAACATACAAGAAAAGGAATATTGTCAGAGTGATATAAATTTAAAGGTTATTTGAAATTAAAATATTCTTGCAATTTTAAAAAATTGAGAAGGAATACACTTACGGCAATGCAAGGGGGAGAATGGACTTGAATAATACACTTTATATCTGGCCTGGCAGCATGAATGGCTGAATGCAAAGAAAATCCTGATTTATTGAATGTATAGTTTGTTGTCCCAAGATCAATAACGTTTCCTTGCATGTCAACTTTCAATAAGGATGAGGCAGTGATTTCATGATACTGTAATCCATATGGATGGCATAGAAAGTGTTCTTGGTCTTGACTAACACGCACCTGTAAGAGAAAACAAACATTTTTGCCATATCAATGACATTTGTGACAATTTTTCTTTTTTTTTTTAAAAAAAAATAAGATACATTTATAAACAAAATCATTTAGGATGCTCTTCTTAAATAATTTACATTATGCTAAATTAAATAAATATTAAATTACATTTATAACTATATGCACACAAAAAATGTCTAAACATGTTCAACACCTTTATTTTTCTATTTCAGAAATAAATCATAAATTAATATAAATGGTAGCAGTAAATTTTAAAAAAATATTAAATTAATAATATATGCATATTGATAAATGAAAATTAAACATTCCATTCAATATTTAAAGAGATTGGTATAAGAGAAGCTAAATATTATATAATCAAGTCATGGTTCTTACAAATGACATAAGAATATTTTCATACATAGCAAATGTTGAATAAAATTTAGATATATAACTTTGGTTTTTGATAAAAGAACACACGCGAACAGGCTAAGAATTTTTGTGGGACATAAGATTTTAGTTAAAACAAAATTGAGGTATGACGACTTCCATTGTTGATTTCCATATTAAAGCAATTGACTTTCAAGGAAAAATATTCTCCGAAAGTCAAAGTTTCACATTTGAACAATCTAAAACTAAGTAATAAAGCAATAAAAAATATCCTAAAGCAACAGAAATAATGTTAATTTTTTTAATGAATAGAATAAATATTTAAAAGAGTTATTGCGACTGTGAGTAGTAAATGCATTTTCTTAAATAATGGGTTATAAAAACATTTTCTTTACAACAATATTATTTTATTAAATGGTTGTTTGAATACATAACTTTTTGCAAACTTAATAAAGATATTTAATTTGTATTACATATAATCCAAAAAAATTTAATTTTAAAAGACAATAATTAAATTAAACTGTCTTCTTTGCAGATGTACTTTTATAAAAATACAGATTTTAGAATCTAGCAATTTTCAGCAGAAACAAAACTATATATACTTTTAAAAAAAGGTGCCAACTTTTCAACTAGCTGTCAATAAACAAAAGTAATAATAATACAGAAATCTCTACAGTTAGCATTACTGTTTTTAAAGTTTATGTGCTATGTAATTCTATTAAAAAAATTTTTTAAATGATAAAACACTGAAAATTTATACTTAAATACAGAAAGGTAAAATTAAATTGATTACTTGGAATAAATGTTCTTACAATAATAAATGTTCCATTAAAAGATTTTGATCACAGCATTTTAGATGAGCTTACGCTCTTTTTGAAAAAATCATTTTGAAGTATTATAAGTTTATGTTCTTTTGCCTTTCTGTAAGAAAAGGAGAGTTAAGTTCCGGAATGAATGTTGAAGGAAAGACTTCTTCCAGATTGCTTTTTTTTTGTACTAATAAATTATTTTTGCTCTTAGATGTTTTTAAAATAGTATTAGGAGTAGAAAAAATTATCAGATTAATTTCTAACAACAAAATATCACAACTTCTAGTAATTAAAGAAAGAAGGTTTCAAATAGATAATTACGAAGATTCTTAAGAACCGATATTTTTATTATTCAACCATAAGACTGCAATAATAATTGTGAAATTGTAATTAAGGATAAATACTAATTGTTATTTTAATAAAATATTGTAAAAAAAATATTAATATTAATATAAAAGCTTTTAACTTATTAATTTAAATGTTAATACACTTATATTTAGCATAAATGTCTTTGAATAACAAATAAAAATAGAGTAATTTTCCTTTTAATCAAAAAACATTGTACAGGAAAATAAATATTTAACATACATAAATACAATTCTAATACAAATTATTAAATATAATATCCCAAAATTCCAATTATAAATTCATTACAAGAAAAATTAATTAAAACATTTAATTTGAAAAAATACTTACAGTTATATTGTTAAACATGCTTTCAGCCCAGCCATACAAATCTATTAACCTATAGACTGCAGCCAACTTAGTTCGCTGTACCTTTTCACCTTTAGCATAACGTAATCCATCTACTCCCCGGATGTCATTGATTGGAATAACGCAAACACCAGACCTAACAGCTGTTGGAGCTGTACGAGAAGTGTGAGGAAGCAAAAGTTCTGTCACTTGTTGTAGAGCAGATAAATTCGCTGTGACCCCACCTTCACTCATTTGGGACTCTATGATCCTCTCTAGCTCTTCCCGAAAAACTTGACTGAAAAATAAAGTGAAAAAATTTATAATAAACATTTTCTACTGAAAATATATGAAGCCTGGTGAATCTTAGGTTTTACCGCTTTTATCAAAGTTACTTGGTAAAAATTTGAAGTATGTTTTATTATGATTCCGTTCCAGACATTTATCAAGCCTTAACCTAATTTTTTTTTTTTCATTTGGCTTATGTTAATCTTTTATGACAGATTAGCTAAATTACTTGGGTTAGTTAAAAGTCAGCAAAAACACCGTATTAAACCATAAGCTTTCCACACAAAAATATTGAAATAAAACTTTTAAAAACAAATACAGGGTGCGTAGCCAAATCTTTGAATAAAAAATAAGCACTTTTTAAAAACTTTTCGAGCACTTCACAAAAATTTTCAAGCACTCAAAAAATTCATATTCAATCAATGATATTATTGAAAAACAAACACTTTTTATAAACAGTTTTAGCGTTAAAAAAAACAAAAAGAAACGGGCGTAAATCGAAACAATCATTACTTTCCCACATCACCGAGCGAATTCAAATTGACCCTGAACTCAGAACAAAAGTACCCTTACCCCCTACGTCAAAAAAAGTGTTAGAAGTAAAATAAAATAAACAAGAACAAAATTAAAATAAATTAAAAAGAAAAACATTTCATAAGGATCTGATGTTCTCTATCCGAATTGGAGCACTCTAGTTTCGGTTTAAAGTGTGCGCGCATGCGCTAGTTATAACGTGGGTACGACATGAAGTACGCGTGAATGATTACGTAGCAAACTCCCCATTTTTTGTGAAATGCAAAGGATCCACCAGATATCACTGAAGGGAAGAAAAAAAATTATTCGGAAAAAAAAGCACTTTTTAAAAACGCCAGCTGAAAAAAGCACCTTTAAAAGCTTTTAAAAAGGAAATCCAAAAAAAAGCACTTTTAAGTACCTTTTTACAAACGCTACGCACCCTGAAATATCATTTATATAGAAAAAAACAAATATTTATTACATTAACACTATATTTATTTCATATTAATAAAAATAAATTAAGAAAATTATTCCAATAATTTCTGACAAAGAACTCTTTTCTTGATTATATTAGCCATTATAGAATGATCAAGAGATTTTTCAGTTCGATTTCAGAGGGTGGAAAATGAATCTTAAAATAGAGAATATCTTGCAAAATACAGCAGAGTT